CATGATGAAACACAGCAAGACAGTCTTGTTAAAGACTGGTTCATATTACTCAACACAGCTAACATGATGAAAGACAGCAAGACAGTCTTGTTAAAGACCGGTTCATATTACTCAACACAGCTCACATGATGAAACACAGCAAGACAGTCTTGTTAAAGACCGTTCATACAACAGGTAAATGTGAAAGAGAAGCAAATTTGACATGACAAATTCTGTTTGTGTTTGCTTTCACACCAAGTATGCACAGGCTTGAGCATATGGTAAAGTGAATACACTGTGAAGCGCCATAGCTAGCTTTCATGAAAGGAGTGTGTCGTCATTGCTTCATTTACATCTCATGAATACAGCGTTTTCAGGATTTTGTCGACGTAGCACCGTGGAAACGGTTCACCGGCTGATGCAAGTACACACTAAGCAGGCGCGGTCACGTCAGTGCACACAATTACATATAGCATAGTAACACATGTAGTTACAGTTTTACACTGTCCCAAGTCCGAGGCGCAGAGCCCATCGTGCCATCAGAGCACCAATGGGATCCAAATGGGCTGACGATGGGGCCACAACTGGTGAACGACGTTTTGAAGGTGACCAAGATCGTTTGATAAAAACGGCTTGGTAAATTCAGAGTGAAGGACAGATGTTTTCAATGTTTTTTTATGTTATTCCAAAAAAGTGTCAGGCTAGGCCATGCAGCTCAGGGGTGCAGATCATTGCACATAAACATATCCATGAAACCAGGTCCGCAAGTTCATGACGTTTTTTGTTTCCAGGGTGGTACGTAATCAAAAAAGCATTTCCGTTAAGCACCACCAACGGTACAAATGCGGACAGTTTTTGAAAAACCAGCAGAATTGGTCAATATTTTTATCGCACTTTTACTATTTATTCAGAAGTCACAGTGCCAATTTGCATATACAACTTATTACTTAGATACCGAGTGAGCATATTAAACTGTATTCCCATTTTGTTTAAGAACTGTTCAATGAAGACCACAATGTGAGTGATCTAACCACCTAGCCCTGCCTCTTACCCTTTTGAAGATATAAAGGAGAGTAATGGGTCTAGTAGCCTCCTCCACAGCCTCCTTTTCCTTCTCAGTGAGCACCTGCAGGGCTACATTGTGGTGGTAATTCACAAACGGCTGGAAAACAAAAAAATGAATAAGGACGGAACTTCAAAAACAAGCCCAAACTATAGGTGCATTCAAGTACATTTAGCTTCAACACGGCAACCCTGACTTGGTAAAGGCCATGTATGCTGGGTCAAACAAGTGAGACGGTAGGGACAGAGTTAAACCGAGTTAAAAGTCAATGTGTTGAAGCTAGTCAGATATACCCTCCAGGATCAAATGATGGCTCATACAATTAGGAAAGCTAAAAACAGAATGAACTCAGTCAGCATCTGTTTCAAATCCAGACATTTTAGGACATTCTTTTGTGTTTTATTGTAACTTTCAGCATAATCCCCAGTTACAGTGAAATCAATATTCACATCTGGCATTGATTATTTATAATTCCCAGTTACAGTGAAATCAATATTCACATCTGGCATTGATTATTTATTTTTAACTGATCATCCAACAGTGCATTTAGTGCTACTTACTGAATGATAACGAGTGAAAAATACTATGAAGAAATGTTCAGTTTTAGAAGTGGGAGGAAAACCCCGGAAAGATGTTTTGGGGAAATGCACTGACTCAGGTATATGTAGGGACTGAGAACCGATCCACATGTGGACCAAACTGAATTTGAATCTGGACCGCAGAAGTGGAAGGTGAGGCAGGAAACGCTATGCCAACCTGACTCCCCATTGATAATGAAAGTCACAAACACTTGTAACTGGCATTCAGTGAACTTTTAACTACAAGTGTTCATAACACATTCCTGGGTTTATAAAGTATTCTGGGGAAACATAAAAATACATACTGTACATGTACATGTATATTGAAAATAAACTTTCCACTGGTATACAGTGTATGTATTACTGATACATCACCTGATAACAGACAAAACCACTTCCATAAATGAAGTAGAACTAATCTCTATACATGCTTTAGGAATTTTATGCAGCCACAACTGTGCTATACAGAATTTGAAAATGATAATGGAGAAGTGTAGCTCTTCTGTACATGTATTTGCCCTACATCTAATGTGATTACATGCCCTTGTTCTAAATCTTTCCTCATTAATGTGAATAATGTAACAAAAAATTGCTGTAACGAAATTTTGAAAATAAAAACCCGGCAGAAGTGTTTTTTTTGTCTCAATGTTTACATCAAAGCTGGCTCATTCCTTATCAATCATCCAACTGTGGATGGACAAGTTTGCTATTCAAGTGAAATACAAATCGAATGACTATGATTTTACTGACAATATTGGATTTGAGAGAAGCCTTTACATTATAAGCTAAACGCACAGGAGTTAGGTGTTCATGTGGTAAGCGCCAATGCTAGTGAGG